ATTTGACGATGAAAATATATTTTTGCTCAAAACAGAAAAGAATTCGGGGAATACCCATAATCAAAATTAGAGCACTTGTTTGTGTTAGAAAATGAAAATACTGTAATAATTTGACAATGCAGATATAAGCAATATCACTCATATTACTAGTTTTTCCACACATTTTCAGGGGTTGTATATAGTACAGTATAGTTAGAAGTATATCATGCATTTAAATATATTTTAAAAATTCAAATTATTTATTATTTATTGAACGGACTATAATTTTTAAGTAATATATTATAATTTGTTTTTGATGTATCATGCAATACAAGTATACCGAGTCGGACATGTTTTGAAGTCGCTCCTATTTAAGTGAAAAAAAAGTAAAAAGTATCAAACTTACAGCGTCGGAAACTAAAAGAAAAAACGAGTAAACGGAAGTAAAGGTAGAACAATAAGTTGCGGTATGATTTCAAATGCATAAAGTGATTAAATCAAATAATAGTTTTCATAACTTAAAGCATCCAATTTGCGCACGTTTTTTCTTTTTTTTAAATAAAATAAACAAGGCGCTCTCTTGTGGATCATATATTAGTAGCCAAATAGGAGTGATTTTTTTTGTTTTTTAATAACGTAATAAAAATCTGATAGAGACAGTCCTATAATTAAGTGTATAAATAAGTCAAAAATAGCTAAGCAAACTGTTGACAGAGACAACTAATAAACATTTATTTGTAAAAAATATGATTTATATAGTTTATGTAATGCATGTAAAATAACATAGAATAAACAAAACAAATTTAAGATAGTTGGTACACAAACCATATATTTCGAACTAAGGGATAATCGTAAATCTATTTGGCAAAACAAAAACATAGCATAGTTTTAAGGTAATTTACAAATTAGTTAATAAATAATAAAATTTATCAATTAACAAGCATGCATCGTATGCCATCAAAAAACGTGAAGACATCATATAATCCGTCGGCTAAAAGGATGTTAGCAGAAACCTCGCCTGAAGATGGACCGAGTTGCTCTAATTATACTGTTAAAGTAGGCGATCTGAGTGTGAACCAACTAAAAGATATAATTAAGGATGGTAACAAAGAAGTTTTAGAAAAAATTGCCTACCTCTCTGAGGATGTCATGACGCTAAGGCAAGGAAACGAAAATCTAAAAAAAGAAGTTGAAAATCTCAAAGCATATAGGGCTCTAGATAGTAAAAGGATTTCTATGCTTGAAACGCAAGCAAAAAGAAAAATTTAATTTTCAAATGTCTACTGGCGAACAAAGCATTAGGTGAACAAGTACAAAAACTATGCACTGATGTTCTCCAAGTTTCGCCATCAACAAAAATAAAAGATAATAAAAAAATGTCAGAAAAAGACGATAAAATGACCGTTCTAATAGAGATGGAAACAGAAGAAAACGCAGTAGAAGTACTGAAAAGTGCTGGGAAGCTAGCAGGGACAGCAATATTTGTGGAACGGTACTCGAAAAACAGCAGAATAAAAGAATTATGCTGGAGTTAAAAAAGCAAATACTGCAAGTGAGCTCGAAACATCGCGTTACCGTTAGAGATGATAAATTACGGGTAGGAAACAAATGGTTTAGGTGGAACAGAAATAATAAACTAATGAACGGTAATGATGATGCGGGTGCTGCTTTACAATTACTATCCGGTACCAAGGTAAAAAATATATGTACCAACTATATAGAACTGCACAATAAAATAAATCCAAAAAACTAGTCAAAAATAAAACAGCTTGCACAAATCAAAATGAACAAGCAACCACTGACCACACCCAAGTAATAGACTTAGAGTTAAAACTACTTTCATATAATATTGCAGGCATAACAAATAAGTTAATATATAAGCATTTCTTTAATTATGTCAATTCCTTTGACATTTTCTTTCTCTTTGAAACGTTTGCAGAGGCCAACCTGGAGAGATACGAACCGTATTTTTCAGATCATTTATTGTACGGCGTGCCAGCGATTATAACTTCCGACAGAGGACGGGCGAGTGGTTGTACACTTTACCGAATTAAAAAACAACTAAATAAATCATTAAGATGCACTTTCATAAAGATTTTGAATACGGTGGTAGTTGAAATGAAGATAAGAAACGAAGATGTTATAATCATTCCGACATATCTCAACTGTGAAAATGGGCTGCAGATTACGAAGAGTTGTACGACACCTTTATTCAATTGAAATCAGTAAACGTGATGATCGTAGGAGATCTAAATGCCCGCATAGGTAGCAGCCAAGCGTTAACGGAAAGTATATATACAGCTGCTGGATATGCAAATACTCCTGGAAGTGCAAATGACAAAACATTAGATCCAAACGGCAAAAAACTCATTGAGCTATGTGAGTCTTTTAATTTAACAGTACTGAATGGAAGAACACGAAGCGACACAGAAGGCAGCAACACTTATTATAAAGCTCAAGCTGCATCAACCATCGATTACTGCTTGATAAATGGCAAATGGCACCACTATGTAACTGATTTCCTTGTTCAAAATGAATCCTTCTCCGATCACATGCCTCTATGCATCAACATCAACATGCAAAATATTCAATATGTGGAGGAAATGCAACTCTTACCCAAGCTACGATGGAGAGAACAACACGCGACAAGATACAGGGAGAAGCTGGACAGGATCACTGATAAATAAGCAAGCGCTGTTGAGCAAATACAAACTGATGATCTGCTGCTGTGCATTACCAAAGCAGCTGATTTTATGCAGAAACCTACCAGCACAATATGTCGCTAACCATGGTTTGATAGTGAATGTGGGGAAGCCCGTAACAAATCTATGAAATTTCTAACGCTGATGAGAAAAACATCATTAGATATCTCCAAAATAAATTATCATGCAGCAAATAAAGCTTTCAAAGAGATATGTAAACGGAAACACCAGGAATACTTTATGCAACTAGAGGTAGTTGTAAATGAAGTTACGGACAGTAAAGACTTTTGGGCTCTAGTCAGAACGCTAAATGGATCCAAATCATACAAACCTATTAAGGTGGATATTAGTATACTGGCTAGCTATTACAAAGGATTACTATATGAAGAAGTGTCGGCAGTACAACATAATTTCGCGTTGCCCTACTCTACAGTACAAGGACTGCATCATGAAATAAGCACCATAGAAGTAATGGCCGCGATAAAGCGAAGTAAACACAGGAAAGCACCAGGTGTGGACAGAGTACCGGCAGAATTTCTAAAAAATTCGTCAACGAAATTCGTAAATTATTTGACAACTGCCTATAATAGTATCTTTAAATCAGAGAACGTTCCTGATAGCTTCAAAACATTATATTTCCCATATTTAAAAAAGGCGATGTCGGCGACCCATCTAATTACAGAGGTATCTCTTTTCTTAATGTGATCACAAAAATATTCACCTCTATTCTTCTTACCCGACTAACTAACTGGATAGAAACATATCACTTACTGAGCGATTATCAGGCAGGTTTTAGGAAATTATACTCTACCGTAGACAGTATTTTTGTGCTGACCTCAATTGTAAAGGAGTTCCTCCAAAGTAAACGCAAATTATATATGTTTTTAGTAGGTTTCAAGGCGGCTTTTGACACCATTGATAGGCGTAGCCTCTTTCTGAAACTAAGTAATATTGGCATCTCAACAAAAATGTTAAGTGTAATTCAAAGCTTATATATCAAAAACGGAACTGCGTTTTGGGATAGTAAATATCTATCGGAATGGTTTGAGTCAAATAGTGGTGTCAAACAAGGTTGTCTTCTAAGTCCACTACTTTTTGCGCTGTATGTAGATGACATATCGTGTGTTTTGCCTGGTGGAGTTTGTCTTACTTGCAGAAGATGCCCAAACACTCCAGAAGATGATAAACGCACTGCAACAGTATTGTCAAACATGGGGCCTACAAATTAACTGCGATAGATGAAAAGTAATGAGTGTGGAAGACAACAGATGGGGTAGAACTAGAAGTAGTAAACGAATTCAAATATTTAGGAGTATTAATGACGTCAAACATGAATTTTGCAAATCACACTCCACAAAAACTTTCCGACTCAAAAGTGGCACTAAATGGTACGTGGAATCAACTTTTTAGTAGAAGAAATGTGTGTCATAGCACGAAATATAAAATGTTCGTAGCAACCGTCAGATCGATTTGTGTACGCAGCACAATCGAAGTTATTCAAACAAGTTTCTGACGGCCGCGGAACGATATCAATTTTAATATCAAGGCAAGACAAACGATAAGGCTGACACTATTTCCATACGACAAACAAACTAATACTGAACTGCACCCTTGCATATGTATGAACAAGAAGACGCTGCCCTATCCTGTGTGAATTTAATGGTCCACTGGGCAAAACCCAGATTATCCATCTAAATGCTATGATTCACTAACGTGCAGCGTGCGTAAACTAGTAGCCGTTTTAAGGAAGTTTGCAAGTACAGACGTATTACTGAGGATTATGGCGGGCAATTCTGATGTTTTCAGATTGATGAATGATTAGATGTACATGAACTCACTTAGAGTTGCTTAAAACTAATATGTCATATGTCTCTGCTATAAAGTATTTTTAGATTTTTAAGTTTTTCGGTCACATGAGTTATCATAATTTAAACATTTTAATTTCACTATTATTATATAATTATTTTATTAAATGAACATATACTGTAATCATTTAATTATATTATTTATTTTATACTCATATCCTTTTATTGTTTTTCTGAATTGGCTGAATCTTTTTTTTTGTCTTTATAGCATTATATTGTTTATTATTACATATTTTTGCATTATGTTCGAATCGCGTTTAAACTTAATAGTTATAGACTTAATAGTTATTGTCTTAAATAATCTGTAGTTCTTATGTTATACATTATTAAAATATAAAATAAGTCAAATGTTAAAACTGCTGTAAATATGTTACAATTTAATAATCGCAAATAAAAGAACTTACTTACTACTACTACTATTATAATTTTTTTAACTTATAATTATTTTCTGTAGGTATAAATGGTTGGATAGTTATATTCCAGGCACAGCACCTGCTGTTATTACAAAGAAACTTATTCTTGATCAGTTCGTATTATCGCCTTATTTAATTATGTTGTTTTTTACGGGTATTATGAATATAAATGTTATTAATTAATCATCAAATGAACTTTTATTTTACAGGTATGTCAATAATGGAGAACTCGGAAAATATATTTTTGGATGTGCAGACGAAGTTTATTTCCACATTTTATAAGTCTTGTATGTTTTGGTTGCCAGCACAATCCATTAATTTTATGTTCATTATGCCAAAATACAGAGTACTATATATGGGAATTTGCGGATTTTTGTGGGTTAATATTTTATGTTGGGCTAAACGGCAAAAATAAGTTGGACTGAGAATATGTTATATGTTAAACTAATAAGTTAAAACTTTTATATATTATCAAATT